GGAACATACGTGTTCCGCATAAACTCAACTTCTTTACGTAGTACCAGGTAGTTCCGTTAATGTTTGACTTTTATTGACAATGTTATTGTCACAAGAAAAACAACTTTGTCTCTAGTGTGACAATTGGCATATCTTCGCTACACATAATTTAGTATATTTTATTTAAGCTACTATTATGCGATAACACATGCGGTAATTGATTTATAAAAACATAACAAGTGTTTAATAATTATTTTTGGTAACAAACAATAAAGATACGTCTTTTTAAGTCGAAAGAGTAACTTAGTGTTAGAACAGATAAGTAAAACAACGCAAAAACAATTCAAATTAACTCAAGTTTACGAAAATGTAATTTAAATCTCACCTCATTACAAAGAGAATAAGAACGCTTTCCTCTTGATTTCCCAACAAATTTAAAACAATCATCAGAGAGCTAAACATGAGAGGTATACATTAAATTAGAGTTTGTTTCAACAAGTTAATCGTGACGCATGATTTATATAGTTGTTGATAGCGGTGATGTAAGGCTTGTATGTAGCTGGTGATGACTGTAATGTCACGTATAATCTTCATTTTGAAATATAGTCATGAGATAACTGTCTCTCTGTTTTTCGCTTTTTTTTTTGGATGTGAATGATAAAGTTAGCTTTCAAGACTTGGCGGGACACGCGGCAGGTGAAGTAGAGTACAACTGTTTCTGTGACCTCTGCATATGAATGGTCCGACATGCTCAGCCGGTGTTTTTAAAAGAAAAAAACATGTTGTCTGAGGTATGACGTCTTTTTAAATTTGGGGTCTGGCTTTTTGTGACGATGTGTGACAGTAGGGACGGGGAGAGAAAAGATAAAAATTAATCGTGACGTCATGTATTAATGACTCCCGAAACTCCCAGTTATCCAAGGGTAACAGGTAGTCTAGTTAATCATATATTTCCATAACTTTTAGAAGCTTACTCCTATAATGGTTTTAAAGCTTTCTGTATTGTTTAAATTTAAGGTATTTAGATCATACAGTACTGCCTTAGGATTCTGATATTTGAATGTAAGTTTTGCTTTACTGTAGTAAACGTTTAAGTAATGAACTATTAAGCATTTGAGGTTATCAAAACCAAATCAGTTAAAGGGTGAAACGTATTGGGTTTAAAAACGTACTTTCTTATAGCACCGCAACAATAATGAAGCTGACTTGTTTTTATACAGCCAGATCTGAAATGTAGAACAAGATGTAGCATCTAGTTTTTCATTTTACATTAACTTTACAATAACGTAACAGTACCATGTTTACAATTATGCCAAAGCATGCTTTCGTTTAAAAATGGTATTGATTTGCTCTCTCTCTCTCTCACTCTCACTCTCACTCCCTCTTTCTATGTTCATGTTCATGTTCATGTTCATGTTCATGTTCATGTTCATGTTCATGTTCATGTTCATGTTCACGTTCACGTTCACGTTCACGTTCACGTTCACGTTCACGTTCACGTTCACGTTCACGTTCACGTTCACGTTCACGTTCACGTTCACGTTCATGTTCATGTTCATGTTCATCCACATCCACATCCTCATCCACATCCACATCCTCATCCACATCCTCATCTTCATACTGCTTTTTGTAAACGAAACCAGAAGCAACCATTTCACACAGATAATCTAACATTTTGAAAATATAAGCTTACCAAAATAATGAATACACACGAACTGGTAATTCCTAAACCAATAAAAATACTGGCATTATCTAAACCCACAAAGAAATCATCTTCCTCTTCCTCCATGCCCAACTTTTATTGTCGGTTTTTTTTTCAATTGATGTGTGTGAAACACCGGGCTTATATTAATGTTTTGTCGCTGAATCTGAAATGTTTCCGGCTTTAAAGCAATAAATCCATGTGTCTGAACGTACTGTATCACACGGCGAAATAAATCTACGTAAAATATTTAATTTATCGCCTGCAAATGTACATCATTTCGTATGTGCATAACAGGGTGGATTCACTCTGTTACAGTACACATAGTTAACGATAGCACTGTAAAATACACACTACCCTAGAATAATACAACAACCTTAACACTGTCAAGCAACAATGATTTAGGTCGAGCCCCAGTTTTAGATCACAAGGTCGATATGCCGAACTTAGGCCCACAACAGTGACTAATAAAACATTAACAACTTCCCTGTGTCCTCCCCATTTTACTTCTGCCTCACGACCCTGCTGCTAGAGTGTAAGTACTGTTTGCGATACCATTAATTAGACGTCCATATCAGTGGCGTAGTGAGGTCGGGTGTAACCCGGTGCAGCACTTAATGGTGTCACCAACACCCCCTGAGGCGTAACGACTCTTCCCGGGGACAAACTTTCAATTTTCGATTTGCATCCCCCCCCCCCTCGTCAAACTTTCGATTTGCACCCCCCCTCAATTTTTTCTCTATAATTTTACTATTTTTTTTGCCTTGGTGTCACCCTCTAAATGGTGTCACCCGGTGCTGTCCGCACCCCCTGCCCCCCCCCCCCCCCGCTACGCCTCTGGTCCATATGATCATTGCTAATTCTATACACCTGTCTCACTTGGAATGGTGCAGCAACGATACTGTGTAACTTTCTTTATGATCGATTATTGGGTTATCTTTTATTTAAAGCCCGACACAATCGATAATAAGAATTGTGTGTCCTTGTATTTAAATTATGTCACTCGGTTTTCTAACTTGTATTTGGTAATCAATAAAACATAATTAGAGTTGTATGCCCTTGTCAAAATGCTGTGTATAAAATGAAACACAAAACAACGGCTCATCAAATGAAAGGTGAAGAAATTATGATATCGTGGGTAAAAAAAAACGTAGGACAGACTTGTTAAGAATCCACTCTTTGGGTGTGTCTGGTGGGACCGACAGACTCTTTTTATGGAGACCATAGAAAACACCACGCAGCTTAGCCACCAACCTCATCCCCACCTGTCAGGTGAACTGTGGTTCACCCCGAATGTTTACGATCGTAAAGCCGGGTTAGTGACTGTTATTAGGGGCAGATAATTTAGTATTAAACAATTTGAACGAATGGGAGGTAACAATTTCTGATTGATCTTTTCATTGTTTGTGAACGGCTGCTTTCACTGGGCGAGGGGGGGGGGAAGGGAGGGCGGGAGGGGGGAAGGGGGTAGTGTTGAATTAACAAATTATGAATTGCTGATAAGCAGAAAATAAAACAACTAGACGGCGGGTCAGCTCGTACATCTAATTCTTAATGAGGTCTACTTTCTAGGTCATGAGTCGGCCGCCCTTAAATCGACGCCACTTTACCAATCTACATATCCCCCATGGACTTAATTATGCTTAATAATATCAATAAACCGGGAGTGATCTCCCCAAATTTTCTCGAATATTCTTATATAACACTACGGGGGATGCCAACTCGGGATATAGACATGGTTTTAAATTCATTTTTAATTACTTAAACTTTTAAAAATACAATAGAATCTCATAGAAAAAAGAATCCATTTTTAATTGCTTAAGCTTTTGAAAATATAATCTCGTAGAAAAAAGTATTGTGCATCAAGTGAACGGCAAACAATATGTGTATAATAGTGCGGAATATTATTAGTGCTGCTTTAGATATAAAACAGTACTCAAGTTATCGTGTTTACAAAACTCTCTCTCACACACACACACGTACTACCACGCACGCACACACACATACACACACAGACAATATAACAGAACGAGGATTTTATCCCATCTTGCTGATGTAAATTGGCGAGTTTTGGCAAATCTCGAGTTTAATTTATCTGCGCGGTTACAATACGTTCTCGGAATCCCTTAATCGAGAAAATAAAAAGTAACGTAACCTTTACAAACCTAACGCTCATACCTCTTCAAATGTCCTCGGCATACAAAGAGGAAGTGTAGTGTGCACCAAACCCAGCGTTCTTTTATTTGGCTATCACTGGTCAGGTACCCATATAAGCTGAGGTGACTCAGGGTCCTGGTTATATTTGGAGCGCGATTACTCCTATTACAGCAACACATCTTACAGTCTCCCTGACAAAACACCCTAGGAATGAACCCAGGAATAAACCACACTTAACAAAAGCCCCACCACCTTAGTTAAAATAAGGCAAACAGAAAATTAATTAAAAATTAAGAAATTAAAAAAAAAAGCAAATTTATTGTTTTATTTACAGTTAAATATAAATGTATAAAAACATACACTTGCAAAGATATGTTGTGAGTTATTATGGGTGAATAATAACATCACATTATTGATTTCTCTATATATTACTTACTACACTAGCAATATACTTTAATCTTTCAAATAAACAACTTAACATTTATAGAACACGAATAGAAATAAATATAAAATTAAGTTATTACTTCAGATCATACAGTCAATAGGATAGACATTGTTGATTTTATCTGTTTCTCATTATACTTGCATATACAAATCAATCACGCTTATTTAAAAAATCCAAAGATAACATATTTTACAGAAAACTCTGAGCACAATTTAAAATATTAAACGAATAAAAAATGTTTTGAATATTTGACATTAAAACGGGAAAAAATGTTTTTATTGTTTACATTTAAACATGTTTAAAATCTGTCAATGGTATTCATAATGCATTATCATCTTATATCTCTGTAATGCTGGAACTCAATCATTCGCTTACATCGGACGTTTTCCCGAAAGACACTTGCTCGAATGCCGTTTGTCCGAAGGCCAATTTCCCGAATGGACACTTGCCCGAATGCGACAAATGCCCGAAAGCCATATGCTTGAATGCGACACATGCCCGAATGGACACTTGCCCGAATGCGACAAATGCCGGAATAGAAACTTCCCCGAATGCGACAAATGCCCGAATAGACACTTGCCCGAATGCGACAAATGCCCGAATAGACACTTGCCCGAATGCGACAAATGCCCGAATAGACACTTGCCCGAATGCGACAAATGCCCGAATAGACACTTGCCCGAATGCGACAAATGCCCGAATAGACACTTGCCCGAATGCGACAAATGCCCGAATAGACACTTGCCCGAATGCGACAAATGCCCGAAAACATGTTAACATTATATATTACCAAATAGTCCTTCATAATCAGTTTAAATTTGAAATATATGATAAACAATACATATCTAAACAAAAGTAAACAGAAAATAATTAATATTATATATTACTCTGCACAAATTTTTAATTAATTTGTATTTGCTATATAAAAAGTGTAGGCCTACACACTCATATTTTCTTTGCTGTCTAGAAAATAATAAGAAAAAACAATTTTCTTAAAACTCAGATTTTAAAATGAATCTTACTTTCTTTATTAAGTAATCGCTTTAACACATTGTCTAAACAAGGTGCATTAAATGGAGATCAATTATAATAGACTACCTTTAGTGTTTACATGTTATTCAATCGATCATTTCCTAGAGAAAACAAACTTTATCAATCATCGTAGTCATAATTCTCCTCTTGTGTTGTTACATAACTGGCAAGATCGATGCCAACTCTACCACCTTTTGCTTTCCAAGTATACCTACAATAACAAAATAAACATATATATATATATATATATATATATAAATATATAATATATATATATATATATATATATATATATATATATATATATATATATATATATATATATATACATAAGTTTATATATATATAAATATGTATGTATATATATATATATATATATATATATATATATATATATATATATATATATATATATATACATATATATATATATATTAGGTAGATTGCGTGTTTGTGCGTATAATTAACTGATACACATACGCTTTTAAAATAGCAATTCATTTTTATTTTAGTAGAATAATATAGGTTATTTATATCCGCAATTTGATTCGACAAATTTTACTAACTGGTATTTGTGTTTATCCAAATACTCCTCAACTGCTGGCTTAATCTTTGGGATGTTATCTTTACTATGTAAACCTCTTCCTGTGATAACATCGACGTGTCTGTATTCTTCTGATCTATTATTTTCTTTGTATTCTGACATTAATAAAGGAAGTTAAGAATATACAACTTTAAAAAGAGCACAATCACAAATAATAAAATGTTTTATTAAAATTTCAAGCAGTTTTATTAATGATTATGAATGTACAATGATAGCACCTGAATCTTTTTTTAATTAACCAGCTTCACATATTTTCCAGCAAGTGTGTCCATTAACTCCTAGCTTTGTAAAATTCCGTGTCGCATTACAATTACCTCTGTTATATTTAATAATGTTGTATGTTACAAAGATATGTAAACTTTTAATTTGACGTTTTATAACTTTTAACCAGTTTCAGCCAATTATTTGCTGAGCTTTATAGGTCTAGGATTTTGGTAGTGAAATAACATTCCATATTCTGACATCAGCATTGGTCCATCGCTAAATGGCCTGCTACCATGGTTTAATGCCAGCTATGTTTAAAACACAAACTACCTTTTAGCTTTTCTCCTAAAAATACTCTGACTTCAGTCATTGCTTCCTTTACCGATAATTCGTGCAAATCTAAGGTTCTGTCGTCTGATTCGTTTCTGAGAAATTAAAAATAATGTTTCTCTATACATATTAAATATTAAAATTGGATTATGATATTATCATTATATTTTTAAAAAAAACTAATAATAGGCCTACAAAACAATTTTAAAAAATAAGGTTTTTAATGCTCTTCATAACACAAACATCTTTGTAAATGAAAGATAAAGTTTGCCTATTGTCTATATTACATTTAAATAAGTGAAAGATAACGCTTACCTATTGTCTATATGAGAGATGACACTTACCTATTGTCTATATGAGAGATGACACTTACCTATTGTCTATATGAGAGATGACACTTGCCTATTGTCTATATGAGAGATGACACTTACCTATTGTCTATATGAGAGATGACACTTACCTATTGTCTATATGAGAGATGACACTTACCTATTGTCTAAATGAGAGATGACACTGACCTATTGTCTATATGAGAGATTACACTTACCTATTGTCTGTATGAGAGATGACACTGACCTATTGTCTATATGAGAGATGACACTTACCTATTGTCTATATGAGAGATGACACTTACCTATTGTCTATATGAGAGATGACACTTACCTATTGTCTATATGAGAGATGACACTTACCTAGTGTCTATATGAGAGATGACACTTACCTATTGTCTATATGAGAGATGACACTTACCTATTGTCTATATGAGAGATGACACTTACCTATTGTCTATATGAGAGATGACACTGACCTATTGTCTATATGAGAGATGACACTTACCTATTGTCTATATGAGAGATGACACTTACCTATTGTCTATATGAGAGATGACACTTACCTATTGTCTATATGAGAGAGGACACTTACCTATTACGCGATCGGGACCTGCGCCTGCCGGTAGAAAGTGACCTTGATCTTCTGGTGTTTCCAATCTAGATTTGTTTTTAATGAGACACATCAAATTTGTTTCAAGGGACAGTGTGTATTACAAACATTATATAATAAATTATACACACACATAAATATATACAAATACATTTATATATATATATATATATATATATATATATATATATATATATATATATATATATATATAATTATATATATATATATATATATATATATATATATATATATATATATATATATATATATATATATATATTACATTTGAATTGTAAAAGTCCCTGTTTTTCCTATAAATAACATAAGAAACTGCTTTCGCCAGCATTTTCAGTCCATTTATCTGACTCACAGGAGCGGGATTACAAAAAGGTACCTTGTATGAATCAACGTTCTGGTTTTCTTGTATTCCTGCATTTCTGACCACTGAACGTGACCTTGTTCCTGAAGACGACCTTGGTTTTCTAATTACATCTTGCTTCTTGGTGTAACTGTTTGCTTCAATGTAAAGTTCGTTGCCCGGGTGATTCTTAATCTTTGATATATATATATATATATATATATATATATATATATATATATATATATATATATATATATATATATATATATATATATATATATATATATATATATATATATATATATATATGAGAATAAATACGTATTGCGGAGTTAAATAAGAATATTTGTTAACACGTTGATTGCTTGCCTTGTTTAAATTTGTATTTGTTGGGCTTACGTATGTCTGTCTAGTAGCTTGACTTGTGGTCTTTAAAAAACGAAATACATTTAAAAGAATGTTACAAATACATTGCCATTAATGAATAAAATAATGAGTCAAGGAACCTAACAAGATAAATGCATGGATTTAATTTTAGAATTTAGCAAAGGATAACTTACATAATTATTGCTGTATACAGTCGGACTTACTGGTGATGTCGGCTATAAATATATATAAAACGTGTTAATAATATAAGAGATGTATTTTCAATAGACTTTTAGGTCTCGGAGACTACTATTGTTGCATAGCTCGAATATGTATTAGTAAACAGATACAGATTCATATTAAATATTTAAAACAATACACACATCCTCGCTCAGCATATATATATATATATATATATATATATATATATATATATATATATATATATATATATATAATACAAGTAAATAAATATTCTATTTTGTTAATATTAGTATAAACACTTTTTGTAAAGTAAAATAAAGCAGGATCGTTTAGAAGTTGATTGTTTACCTTATTTAAAGTTTTGTTTGCCGGGCTAACGTATGTTTGTCTAGTACCTTGACTTGTGGTCTAATAAACACACAATACATTGAAAAACATGATACATATACATTGCGACTTATAAAAAGCCTGTCAAGAATAATTCATGTATTTAATTTTATATTTTAGCAAAGAAAAACTCACGTAATGATTGCTGTAAACAGTCGGACTTACTGTATGATTTAGTTGTTTTTTTTGACGTTTTACCAACCTGTATGTGTTGTAACTCGAATGTAGGCTGGCGTGTAACAATATGGTTGCAGTTGTCAACCCGATGATTGCTAACACGACTGTTGTTATAATCATAAGGCAGTGTTGTCTGGTGGAAGAGATAGATAGATTCTAGTTTTAACAAACACAATAACATAAAATGGTGTTATCGGATGCATATTTAAATAAAACGCGAGTGATTTGATGTACTAAAATATGTTGGGTATTTTTCACTTTTGTTGACATTTACACGGATATTTCATTTGTGTTATTTTACTTATAATTTAATTTTTACTTTAGGTTACTTGATCTTATAGTGTGTGATCAATAAACTACGTATAGAGCTTAACGTATATAAACATCTTTCCCGTTGAACCAATGCTTCAATGAAGATTCAACGATATTGAAAAAAGTGCTTAATTTACATTATAATCGAGTTATAAAGGTGGGTTTAACAAAAAACTAGAACCAACCACAGAATGAAGATCGATATTTCTTGAGCCATCGAACGATCTGCCGTTGTAATCGTCACCATCCCAGTCATTTTTCTGAAGGACACAACACACATGCTACTTTAAAAAATATATTCTGCCTCATACTTTATAAAATTTGACGTTTTTATCAGACTCATTTGATACTTAAAGAAAAGAAATTTAGTTTGATCTGCTAGCTTATATAATCGCTATAATGAGTGTAAGGAAAATCCATCAACACTAAACATTGCACGAAAATAAAAGAAAAATGATCCAATGATTTACAGCTACGTGTTACCTACAGGTCAAACAGGATGGGACTCAACAAAATCTAATTTTGCGTTTACAGATAATTACAGCCCTTCATTATGGCCTCGTTTTACTTTAGTTCTTTTTGTTAAGTCCAGGTAGAGCTAGAATGACATATTTCTACTGGAATATATATATATATATATATATATATATATATATATATATATATATATATATATATATATATATATATATATATTTAACTTCCTTTTTACTTGTCTTTTCAAGATACACCAGGCAGGGCAGAATATATAAAAAATAATTAAAATTTACCTGTCTACAAAAACAGCAACTAGGCTTGAAGAAAAACTTCCAGTTTAACTTGGCATAATCCTGGAATAATCAACAATCAACTCAAGATTGATTATATAGTCCGTTTATAGTTTTAATACTAAATAATTATATTGTGATGTCATGCACATTTGTAGTCGCGCAACAGATTAAGTAAAACAGAACATCACAACATTCAGAAACCCAAAGTTCGTGAACAAACCCCATTTAACTTAGACCTTTTTCTTTTTTAAAATAAATGTGTGTCGAACTTTCACATTAACCCCATGATATATGCACAAAAACAAACCACGTGATATAAACACATACACGACATCTTAACATACACTTACACAACACCTAGACATACACATACCCAATACATTGACATACACATACACATACTCATATAACGTTGTATTCCCTTTAGGCTTAACGCAGTTGAACATCGTTTAATACGTTAAACGTAACCTACACATAATATGTTTCAAAGTAGATTCGACCAAGTAAAAATTACCTGTTTACAGAGATTGTAAGAAGACTCACAGTCTGATTTACAGTCCGCGTCTTCACAAAGCTTATCTAGCTAATGAGAGAAAAAAATATTTAGTTAAATTATGTGCACCATTCTTCAGATAGACAAGAACAGAAATTTTAGCTAGACAAATTTAAAATGGTGTTCATAATATTTTATCTGATAGTATCGTTTTCGAATAGATATAACAAAAACTATCAACTTTAGTATATGTTGTTTTGTCTACAACACATCATTTCAAAATTCGCGTGTTGTTTAAACAAGTAACTGAAAAATTGTTTTGTCTCACCTGTTCTAGCAAGCAGCAACAGCAACAGACGTAGCAGCAGTTATCACAGTTGCAATCACGATAACACTCACACAACTGCCAACGCAATGTATTGTTTTTGTATATCTAGTATATCTTAATTGTTTTAGTATATTTAGTATATCTAAATTGTTTAAGTATATTTAGTATATCTAAAATGTTTTAGTATAGTTAGTATATCTGAACTGTGTATGTTTTGTATAACTTATCCACTAATCTAGTTTAAAAAATTTAATAAGCGATAAAACTATGTCATACAACACAAAAAGTTAAACTAATTTTTTTTTATCTTGTTAATGGGAAAAAAGTGTAATAATCTCCAAAAAATGTAAAAAAACAAACACAAATAAAAGCGTTGGTAATAAAAAAAAAACATCCTATTCAACTCCCATACTATTAGATTTTTAGATTTACATTTTTGTTTCTAAAGTATTTAAAAACCGGAGATTATCAAACTAATTAAAAGAAAAGAAAATGATCGTACACCCTCACACCACCGAAGTATTCCTGCTGCTAAACATTTGTTACACAGCCAGATCTGAAATGTAGAACAAATTGTAGCGTCACATTTGATTAGAAGAGTACGTTTTCACCCAGTCTTTTATACAGTTGGAAAGTCATCAATTGTTAGTCTCAGTCTCTCTCTCTCTCTCTCTCTGTATATATATGTATATATATATATATATATATATATATATATATATATATATATATATATATATATATATATATATATAGAGAGAGAGAGAGAGAGAGAGAGAGATAAATAGAAAGATTTGTGTGCGTATCATACAATACGTACATAGGCAATACTAATTATAAATTAAAAATATATGCAAAATACATTACATGTATTTGTGTGTGTCCCTATCTCACACGTATATAATATTATAGTTAGCCTGGAAAGATAAATCATCTTCCGAATTTTCACAAAGAATGGATGTTAAAAATGCTTAATAACTTACCAGGAAAATTAGTGCAAACAAACTGCCAATTCCTATCCCAGTATAAAAGCATACGTTTTTGAATGTGACAAAGAAATCATCCTCTGCCGCCATTTCCAACTACTATCATGGATATCTTAGCTGTTAATGTGCAGAATATCCTGACTTGAGTTGACGATATATAACTAAGTCTGATATTTTGCCATTTTTATAATGATGTACATTCAGATTACTAAATATACTTTAAAAGTGGTAGGAAATCTGTTATATTTTAAGCTATCTTGTGTATATCGCTGAAATAGCAAAACACAATGAGATAATCATTTCAATAACTAATGTATTTAAAACTGGTTTAAACAACACATCTGATGACAATTCCAAAATTCCAGTGTACGCAAATTCTAAAACATACGCCTCTAAGCGAAGACTAGCAGAAATAAAGAGATACAAACGTGTATAAAAACGCAGCCTACTACTTCTAATCCCACATTAGTTCTGACATAAATAACATTAACTCAGGTATATTACACATTGAAAATACACACAACATAATAATAACCTAAACACGGTTACGCAACAACGATTACTGATCTAGTTCCAGTTTTAGATTGCAGGGCCAACATGACAAACTTTGACCCAGATAATTCGTCCAACTATTTACAACTTCCCTGTGTCTTCCCTCTTGTAGGCTACCTTCGCTCCCCGACCTTGTAACTATAATTATTGTATATTAACCTGTTGTGTTACCATTAAACATATGTCAATATGATCAACGCGGATGTAACACGTCTGTCTCCCTTGGGAAGGTGTAGCAACGGTTTTTGTGTAATTGTCGTTATGATCGATTGTTGGGTTATGTTTTATTGAGGGCCCAACGTAATCAAAAAAAGGACGTTTCTGCTTTTAAATTTTCTGAAATCTCAGTTTGGATTTTTAAAATCTGAATGTGATAAAAAACCAAACACGATTAGATCTGTATGCTGTTGTGGTTTAATAAAAGATAGCACTTGTTGTTATTTTAATTTTACAAAATGTTGAGTGTAAGCACAAAGCATAGCAACCAATGGAAGGTGAAGGAATAATGTGGTGATGGATGAAATAGACAAATGTATGCCAGGGTTGTTAAGGAGTCCACTTGTTGAATGTGTGTCTTGTTGGACATTCTGCCTCTTTGCACCACTGTCCTAACTATAGAACTTTGATCGGTCCACTGTAAGAATCATGTTTCTCCAATTTTACTTATATATATATATATATATATATATATATATATATATATATATATATATATATATATATTTATATAAATTTTGCTTTATACATCGTAAAACGACGCATGTCTCATGAATTAAAAGCTTGTTCGTTCATATTTCTGTGCATTTGTAGCGCGCGCGTATAAAGACTGATATATTCAGTGTTTTTCTTAGCAACTGTTTTCTGTTAAACATGTTGTTACAATGCAAAGCTCTTTCTTTTGTAGAATAAAATATGTAATTTTTACCAAAAAGCTTAACATCCAGAGTGAATATTTAACATATGTGCGTAAACCATTTGTCGTTTACAGTCTTCAACTATTTTCTCTCACACATAAGGTACAGAACTCTGTTAATCCAAATGAGTTTGTAATTTCAACGATTACCCCTACTTGGATTTTGAAAAACAATAGGAAGATTTCGATCCGTTTCACGCTGAACAGATGTCCAATAGGCATGAAAAGTCTATGTAATCATATATAATTTTTGAAAAAAAGTCTTTAAAAAAGTATGGCAAGCAATAAAGTTATAGTTACAATAGTAAAAATTAAAACGTTTGGGAACCATCGATTACACTCATTTTTTACATTTTTTTTTCGAATATAAGCCGGTGAAAACCGCTTAGAATTCTTTTATCAATTCAAATATTTTTAAAAAACTGCCCTCAACCTCTCCTTTAATTCAATTAGAATCGCCAGGAAGAGTAAAACATAAGTTAGAACACATTTTTTTCCCTGTTAAAAATACACTTAAGTGACCTATGGTGTATAGCGCAGTATTGTATTTATATTAAATAATATAATATCAACAATCAGCACAACACTATGACTACTAATCGTGAACAAAAATAAAGTGTATGCTTAATTACACTTATATAGCTAGTAATTATTACTTTGACTATTTCTAGCCGCAATGAAACACAAATGATATAAAATATTCAATTTTGCTTGAAAAATATGCTTTCTGACAAAATATAGAATATGTATAGAATATCCTAGTACAGTTATTCGATAAATCAACAAAGTCCGAAATCAAAATCACCTACATTTGATTCATGATAATATGATTAGAAAGCAAAACCAAACTTCCCGAAGACAATGCATTCAAATGACTACCCTTTTATTTCAAATTAATTTTATCCTTTATAATTCGGAATAAAGGAAATGAATTAAACAAATATTAAAAAACGCTTTATAATAACAAGCTTTTAAATGCACTGAAAATGAAATAAATCAAACATGCTAAAGAAAGCAAATATAATTGTTTCTTACTCATACTGCATTTTAAGTCTTATTTTTATAGATTTTTTTATATCTATATATATAATTCTCTTCTGGGAGACGCTAGAAAACAAGCTGTAAACGCGAGCCCTACCATCCCCACCCCTACATGGTCTTAGTGAGCTGTGGTTCACTCTAAATGTTTACAAACAGAGCCGGGTTTAGTGACGACTATTAGGGGCAGATAATTTAGTTTGAAACGATATTAATCGTTGGGTGGGGGGGGGAGGGGGGGAAGGGGATGGGGTTATGGTCCTTAACGAGCTACTTATAGTGTTTTAAAGAAATATTTTCAGTGTCAGCGTTGGTACTGTCGAATTCACAAATTATGAATTACTGAAAAGTAGAAAAAACAACAACTAAATAGCGGCGTATGTTATGCCGCGGGCCGGCTCGTATGTTATATTTTCCACAGCAAAACCCCAGGCTACGCGTAAAAATATTGGCTCGAAATTCCGGTCCATTATCTGCACTTAAATAGCCCAATGTTCAATGTTGCCAGTCAGCTGATCGAGAGATCGCTAGCATTTAATCTCCTATTTTACTTAAATTATGATGACTAATCTAATGTCTAATTAAGTTTATAAGTTTTATCTGGAAAGTTAAGATGTAATCGCTGCATTAGCAATGGGTTAAAGTAGAGTGACAAGGTTTGCTATAATACACACACATAAAACAAAACCCCAATCGAACAGATACTGAACTAAATAAAAGCGTATACAAATAAAATAGCATTGTTACCATATTCATATTCAATAATTATCTCTCTCAATCCACTTACATTTAAAATAAAGTGAAAGTACAATTGAAGATGCGTAGTCAATTAAAGATATATGCTGCTATTAACTTATTGCATTTTTCTTCAAAAATAAAGTCTAATCATTTTAATGATAAAAAAACTATAAAGGTACCCAATGATCTTTCTCTGGCTTCAGAGTTTCAGATAGAAGTTTACTGACTTTACTTATTTACATATTTACATTTTTAAATTATAATAAGGACGTAGTAAAAATAAAATTAATAAGCGTCATTGAAATATTGTATACAACTTGAAAAGTGATGTCATTGAAACATTGTATACACTTTGAAATGGTATGTCATTGATACATTGTATAGGCTTGTATCGACTTTAAAAAGTAATTCACGCCTCGCGCTGATCAATCCGACTTTTAACCCCAGTGAATACAGGTACACTCTTGATGTCTGGAGGTACATTCATGACGTCTGGCTTCCAGATTGAGTGGGGGACAGGTAGCAACATGGTTATATTGGGATACGTCTAAGCCTGATCAATAGAGGGGCATTCGTCATGGGCGTGGTTATTCCTGATTTTGAATGTTTAAACACTAGATTCCATGTGAATACAGAGTTAGATCACACTAATTCAACATTTCTAGGGGCGAAGTGAAATCTCAAGTATCGTTAATTAAAGTATTTTATTTTAAATTTGAAAGTAATACATAATCGAGATAAAATTATGACAAGCTAATTAATAATTTAGTTAAAAAGATTGGTTATTAGAGATTAACTGTAAAGCAAACGACACAATTTAGATTATCAGGAGCTTATGTGATAGTCAATACCTAACAACAAATGACTCAATGCATTAGTTGAACTAACGTTACGATACATTATGTTCCACCCTTTTGTACAGCTATCTCTTGGTCTTAAATAACTAAAAACGCCACCAACAGCTGGTATTAAAACAGTTATTTTCAACACAGCTATTTTTATCGCCGCTTCTGACTCTTAGTTCAATGCCTTGAAACACCTTGACTTCTCTGTTTAGATTACCCGGTGCTTGTATGTGATCTTAGAATACCTGGCCCCTTCGTTCTGCTCTGATAAACCTATCATTCGTTTACAGCCGATCTACCTTAGACCGCGTTAACGTCTGTCAACCTTCGATCAGTGTTCCTTTGGTCTTTTGTGACGCCATGTTTTTATTTACGTGCGATTGGATTACGTTCTCAAAGCTTAACATGTTTTTAGTGTAACATTTCTTCAACAAAGGTTTACTGAGCTATAAATATGTAGCCTGTCCTCGTATGTACAACATAAACGAAGGTCGACATGCTGGCATAAACCCCAGGACAAGTCCCGTAATCAAGGTATGTTGATTAATCTCTTCATTAATATTCAACACATTCGATTTAATTCAGTGACAGCAATTCAATTCGACTTAACGTATGTCTATTTTTTTTTTCAAGTGTAAAATTGTATAATTTATACCCTCTGTCATAAATATAGTATTAGAATACAGTTATAAATATGTTATTTATTTATGTGTTGACTATCAGCTGTTATTTTATTACGTGTAGCACGCGGTAAAAAAAGTTGGTGACCTACTTGAAAACACTTTCATGTAACATACCGCAACAACTTTCAACTAGACGAATCATCGACAGCCCAAGACAATGAAAAGGTCAACTGTAGAGTTAAACAAACCAGGTCCAGAACTGACCATCCCCAGTGAGTACAGCGTGACGCAACTTCCGGTCTACTGTGACGTCAGAGAGTCTCTGGCACCGGTGATATTCTTCATGAAACTTTTTGGCCTCTACCACGACTGGGAGGGCTACTACCCTAACACCGTCGTGCCACAATTAGACGAAGAAAATGTTCAAACCCCACGCCATAGTGACTCCAATGCCACCCTCAACCCCTCAACCTCCAAGTTTTCATCCCCATCATTAAAACCTGAATCCCAGAACCGGATGCGTCTGGCCTCCAAATGTTACTGTATATTTGTCATCGCCCTGCTGACCTACAACACCATCCGGTTCCTGTATTTTTTCATCCAATCAAAGACAGTGGGTCTGCTGTTTAATGTAGTGGTCCTCAACTGGTATGTCCAAAACCTGGTTAGTGTCCTCCTCTATCTCATGGCGTGTTGGAGCAAAAGTTTTTTCAGGTCAGTAAAACACCACATCTTGACTTCAAATCTAATAATTAAAACTTACAATAACAAACAAAGCATGTACACGTCACAATGAATAAAACAAAACAAAAAGATTTAAGTCACATTCGTTGGACAGGGATGGTTTGTGTGACTACTTGGCTTTAAATATAAAAAAAAAATTACATATTAATAAAAATCATTAAAATAATCCAAATAAGCCAGTTTGCTTTTTACATTTTTATTGTTATTTTACCGTTGCTTTTTTTCTCAATAAACAACGTTTGTGATCTATTTTTAAAGAATTTTCAAAACAACAGTCGAATGTTTGATCCAACAGGGCGTTCTACAAACAATGGAAGGATTTGTTTAACGACCCAATCACACGAGACCTGGGGTTAGAGGTCACCAACTGCCGGACTGCCGTCGTTGTCATGACAACCATTGGGCTTATACTGATGGTGGTCAACACTTGCTTCGTCTTAGTCACATTTTTTGACAAATCTTTGACTGTCCAGGTAATTAGTCACATTTTTTGACAAATCTTTGACTGTCCAGGTAATTCGTCACATTTTTGACAGAACTTTGACTGTCCAGGTATTAGTCACATTTTTTGACAAAACTTTGACTGACCAGGTAATTAGTCACAACATTTGACATAACTTTGACTGTCCAGGTAATTAGTCACATTTTTTGACAAAACTTTGACTGACCAGGTAATTAGTCACATTTTTTACAAAACTTTGACTGTCCAGGTAATTAGTCACAACATTTGACATAACTTTGACTGTCCAGGTAATTAGTCACATTTTTTGACAAAACTTTGACTGACAAGGTAATTAGTCACATTTTTTACAAAACTTTGACTGTCCAGGTAATTAGTCACAACATTTGACATAACTTTGACTGTCCAGGTAATTAGTCACATTTTTGACAAAACGTTGACTGTCCAGGTAATTAGTCACAACATTTGACAAAACTTTGACTGTCCAGGTAGCACTATAACCAAATCACTGTCAACAGCATCTTCACCACTTCGACAGTCGCAGTTTTAAATTAATTACAAATAAAACAGTGGGGCATTATCTACTTACTTAGTCCTCTTTGCTCTTATGGAATTTAGGGCCTCCACCATTTCCTTCCATTTCTTCCGATCTCCGGCTACTAATGTTGCAATCTCCCTAGACATCCCTGTTGGCTTCAGTTCTTCGAGAAGACTCCGCCTCCATAATTTAAAATATTCTTATCATTTTCTTTACCTTGTCAACTCTAGTGGCGTTTAATCTAAATAAAATCCTGACATTTACTAAAGCTTTTATTTGAATCGTCTCTAGTTTTGGAGATAGGACTTTTTGAATTTACTTTGTGATTTGCTTTCACTAGCCAGTCATGGAGAACATCCTGATCGCCCCACTTCCGGTGTCCGGCTGGAGCAAGTTCTTGGCCGTGATTCTACACATCTTCAACTCTGGATGTTGGTCGTTGGCCACAACTTTTGTGCTGTGTGCGGTCCATTTAATTACCGCACATTTTAAACGTATCACTAAAGTTCTGCATATACACGTAAGTCTGAAGACTATAAGTGTCGCATTTTTAAACTTCTTACAAATAAGCTACAAAGACGCGTAATTTGGTGGTGCATTTAAGTACCCGACATTTTAAACTTCTTACATGTTCATTAAGCATTTTCACTTTTAATAAGTAAATTAACATTTTTTTTAAATGACACAAATAAAGTATAAAAACACGTAAGCCTACGATTGACTGACTACAACCCAATATTCTTTTACGCATACATTTATCCTCAACCAAAACTCGTTACAGATTTCAAACGCTGATTATAACGTACCACCCCGTCTAAAAGACATTCGAACCTGCCATCTAAAACTCTGCAAGCTCCTAGAAACGTTGAACCGATTCCTGAAGTATTTTCTAGCCATCTCGTACTTTGCTGCTATCATCGGATCCTGCTTCATCCTCTACATGCTGATCTTCTCTAAGCTTAAAACCGCCTTTATAGCCATGGCGGTCGTCTGGTTGGCCTGTTATGTCATCATAGCTCTGGGTCTCTCCATAGGCATGTTGCAGCTCCACTCGGCTGTAAGTTGATACAAATTATTGTTTATACATGTAATCAAAGTCATTTTTTTATCACATGTATACTACTAACCTTGGAACTATTATTATACTCATCATGATTTTACTGGTGATTACTTTGGAAAAAAACATGATAAATATTGTAAAATAATTATACATGGAATGATAGTAATATGTTATAATTTAATTTATTTAATTTTATGATGACACAGGCCCACCAGCCACTGAAAGAATTATTCAAAATCCAGGCGTCAGATAATGCTGATTCGGCTCAGGCAATCCAGGTAGATGTTTGATAACAGCCACAGCAATGTATAGTTATATAAACCCTGATAGAGAAACATATATGTAGATATTTAATTATAGTCATTGTAATATGTAGTAAGATAGTACATAATCTAGAACCACATGGGTAGGTATTTAATTAAAATTATCACAACTATATAGAGTAATATAATAGCTAATCTAGGACCATAGGGGTAGGTATTTAATATTAATGTGTATAGTTTTATTTTGCGAACTTTTAAAAAGATAATAATATATATTGTCATTAATTTAAGTCTATATTTAAAACATATTGCTCCTTATCTAGCCTTTTCAGCAGAACTACCTGATACAAACATCAATGCTAAATAATATTTTATTAGCTACTAACTCATTGGGGAAAAAATGAAGTGTCGTTAAGAAATAACTTGACATTTATTCATAGAAAAAAACTTTTTGTTTAAATAAAATTTGAATACCCAATGTATCTGAACATCTTTCTATGGTCCTTTAGATGCAGCTGTTTCTCTCAACCTTGACTGGAAGTGATATAGGCGCATCGATTCTAGACTTTTTCACCATCACCAAGGAGACGCTCCTTACAGTAAGTGCTAGTTTCAATACTGCAAGCTAGCCTGATATATTGAATATATTTTTATTTATCGATGAATACAGAGCAGATAGTTATGTACTCTTTTTCTCCATTAATTTAGGCCACAATCGTTTCTACAACGGAAATACTATAAAAGACTGTATATATGTTAGCCAACTCGAATAATACAAATTCTTAATCAAATTTACAAACAGACGTTCTGATTTATTTTTTTCAGATCGCTGGAGCCTATCTGACTTATTTTCTGCTAGTGACAGACTACAATCCATGATTGTTTTATTCAACACATGATTGTACAGCTAAATCAATGATGGTCCGGCACAGTCAATGATGGTTCAACTCAGCTCATGAAAGTATAGCTGAGCCCATTAAGGTACACTTTCGTCCATGATATCAAGTCACAGTTCATGATGGTTCGGCACAGTTCATGATGGTACAATTGTGTTCATTATGGTATAGCTTCGCCCACGATTCTTAGGAAAAGCCAGTGATGTACAACTTGGACCAAAGCTCAGCCCATGAAGATACACCTTAGCACTTGACCGTTTCAACTTGATATTTCACAGGTTTTGATGGAAAATAAATGTTGCCAAAGTATTCACGTCATTTAATTAAACCAATGTATATAGTTGTTCTGTCTTTAAGTTGTTTTTTTTTGTTAAATGACTGTAAATACTTGCAAGCCCTTTTTTTACAATGTGTTTTATTAAATTGTCTTAACTTTTTAAGCTGTATCAACTTCAATAACAAAGTTGACATACTATTTTATTCAACTATACTAATAATACTACCAGAAAAACTAAATCTTTGTATGTATTGCATCCTTTACTTTAAATTAGTTAATGACATATTATGTCATATCAGATCATGTCATGCGTATCAAGGCAGTTAGATCAAGTTAATATATTTTACTTAACAAACGTAAGCAAACAGAAACATATGTAACACATGACGCGTAAACAAAGAACAGTTACACAATCAGAAAACAAAGAATTATCTTTAAAGGAAACTTCTCAACGTTAGTGCACGAATGGCTATACCAACTCAAACAACTCACTTAGAAGGTGAACAGTTTATATATTATAACCATTTTTATTCTTATTCAGCTTAATCCCACTACCCCGACAGTGTGACATATGGTCTACCATCATCCCATATAAATTAAACAGATTTAACAATCTACACTACATATTGAACACACATAGGTTGTGTGTTTAGTATAGAATATATTGCATGTGTATGTCGATCGCAGTCCTAACACAATATAGGGGGGGAGTAAAGGTCGTCATGTTATGTTTGTAACACTTGTATTGAGATAATTGTAACTCATTGAATCGGGATGCACGTATAATATTTGTTTTTAAAATAAAGCTCTGATTTTCCCATTGATCTCAGGTTCAGTAATATCTATTGGGGTTCATAAGAGGTTGAAATTAACTAGTGAGTTGAAGTAATCACAAAGTTAGAACATTATAAGCAGAGTTAGTGTCTTCTAGGCATCTCTTCGGGGGAAGGGGGGGGGCAGAGTCCCACCCCCCACCCCCCGAAGAAAGTCTACCGCCCCCCCCCCCGGAGAAAAAAGTCTGGAAGAAACACTGTTTATAAGGTAAGAGATTATAATATTAATAAATCGACGTTAAAATAACCAGATGGCTAAGAAATAGCATCAGCTTAAATGTGCGGCAAACAATATTTGATCATTGATTGAAGTCATTACACATTGCTATACAACTTTTTTCTTCAATGCAACTGTAAAATGTCTAACATACAATTATAAGCAGTCTATATAATGTTTTTAAATGGTGAGGTATTTAGTTCAGCAAGCTGGAATTCCATTAAGCCAATTTTGGAATAGTCTTTATTATAAATTTATTGATTGCAATCTATCCCCCTCCACTCTTTCAATTTCATATTCAGGTAAGAATATTACACACACACACATACACACACACACACACATATATATATATATATATATATATATATATATATATAAATTTAATACATAAAAAATAAGCCAAAAGTAGATTGATAATTACCAGCCTTATCAACTCCACCCTTCACCCAAAATTTTCTAAAACCTCTTCTAATTGGATATTACTCTATGCCATTTTACTAACTTTTGTTAGCCTATACAACCTCTAGATTGACTACAATCAATTAAACAAGAAGCGCACGTACGTAGAAGTAATAATTTCATTAATTTAAAACTATGAGAAATAACGTTTGGAAAAGAAATAACTTGCGGTTTCAATACGTTAACATATACGATTCTTGCAACCACATGTAAGTGTAAATGTAATCACGTAAAAAAAAGTTATCTATTCATGTCAATTGAAACGAATAATTGAAAGGTCGCATTGAAATTTGTATTTTTTTATAGTAATTCACGTCTGGACAGGATCAATACACAGGGAATACACGTGTACACACATACCGTCAGTTCCACGCTGATTCGGCCACAACAATCAGCACACAAATATCGGAAAACGTTTATCGAGATTACTTGATTGATTGAAGGTCGTTGATCAGGGGCGGCAATCCGCTCAACACGTTTAAAACATGATGCTTCCGCTTAAAAGTATGGCCATATAATAAAACGTATTTTAACAAAAATAAAATACCTCTTTGTGTTAACTAACAGATACAATTTTAAAATTGCCACGTATAAAATATAAACGTTACTTTGTATAAAACAAAGATGATTAATACAAGTGACTCAATGAATGAAACATACTTTTGAATAGGCTCTACACACTTGGTAGTCCCGTCAATTTGCTTTGTTGATTTCAAATAGCTGCAAGTTAGTCATGTATTAACATTGTTTGATGGGCAGTCGGGGTCTAAATGTAGCGTAGGTTATTGATTTCCTTTGAGGCTAAAGTTAATCTGTTTTGCTTGATTCTCCGGAGAGGCTAAAGTTAATGTGTTTTGCTTGATTCTCCGGATAGGCTAAAGTTGATCTTTTTTTGCTTGTTTCTCCGAGTTCCGACAGCATTCGATAGGTATTTATTTTAGTCAGTTCAAGAAAAGTAGGGGTCGGTGAGTACTGCCTCTGCTTAGCTTAGCTCAATGAAACAGATGCAATCTATTTCATCTCTATAAGCATCATATACTCCGAAATTTTACTTTACTAATTTACAGCAGAAAAACAAATGCGTAACATCAGCTGTGTCAAAGCTACAAGTTTAGATTTAACACAACAAATATGTAAACAAAGACGAACACGGGTTTAAATATAGCCCTTAGCACCACTCCCCTTACGTCTATACAACACAGTAACCGCGCCTGATCACCAATCAAACAACATAGTCTACCTGGTCCCTATGTTCTGCTCTGATAAACTCACCATTCGCCTCCTACCCACAACGTTACGTTACAAATACGTTTGCCAACCAACGACTGGTCTAGAGGAATTCTATGGCTCGAATTAAACTTGTATCGTTTTAGTCGACTAGTACCGTGGACGTTTATAACTAACAGTTTAGTGTTTCAAATTGTCATTGACTGTGATAGTGTTTAGGTAGTTTACCGTGGTTTGAGTGTCCCGTGTGTTTAGCGAAGTTTACTGAGCTATTAAAGTGCAGGTTAGCCTCGTGTGTACGACAAACTAGTATGTCAACATGACGGAGCGGTAATGTTTGCGCCGACTCCACGGCAAGTTAAGTAATCAATGTGATTCGATTAGTTATTTCATTAATATTCCAAATTGTGGATTATCTATGGTGATTGCGATTATCATATACGATTGTGAGTATACAATTATAATTTAGATAGGAGATACGTAAAAATTCCTCTTAGTTACGATTCATACAGAACATCAAAACATGTGTGACTGTAGACTGCAGTAAAATTGAACCTATTGCGAGTGTTAACGATCCGCTAACTGCATTTTTCTTCATGTATTTAACTTCAGTTTAAGTAATACTAAACCGAGCTAACGAAAACAAAAATGAAGACAACAAAAAGGTCAAATGTCAAATTAGTCCAACCCAGACCTGACGTAACCATCCCCAACGACTACAGCGTGACGCAACTTCCGGTCTGCTGTAACGTCAGGAAGTCTCTGGCACCGGTGATATTCTTCATGAAACTGCTGGGCCTGTACCACGACTGGGAGGGCTACTGCCCAAACACCGTGGTGCCTCAGTCTGACGAGGAAAATGTTCAAACCCCACACCATGACACCAGCATCGATCCACTCAACCACACAGCCTCCAAGTTTTCATCAACATCAAAACGGGAAGTACAAAGACATTGGACGCGAGTAATTTCGAAATTTTATTGTATTTTCGTCATCATCTTACTAGCTATAAACAGTGGCAGATTTTTGTATTTTTTCATTAAGTCTAAGACAGAGGGCATTCTCTTCAACATTGTGTTGATCAACTGGTACTTACAAAACCTGGCAGGTGCCATCTGTCTTTTGGTTGCTTGTTGGAAGAAAACTCAACTCAGGTAAGTAGATAATAAAGAAACATAAACATGTAATTAGTTTAACTTCTTTACCACACCCCAGATACACTGGATCTACTGTTATAGTATTTCGACCTCGTTAACGATACATTTTGATTTCCTTAAAGTATTTGTATGGCAAACACATTTTCTTTTGATTTCAAAACTGGATCTAGTAATTAGTACATTCATTGTATGTAATACCCTAGTAGGCCAACAATTCAAACGTCTAGTGTGTTTATTGATCAATATTTACTTGCGTCATTTAATATTCATCACATGTAAAAATAAATTAATAAAGAATATCAGCTAACACATTTCAATGTCAATATACTCATTTTTTATCTTGGTTTTTTATTAGCTAACTTTATCAATGAGAAGTCTCTTGTTCAATTCCTAGTTTAATTTAGCGTAATGTTTTTATCACTGTCAACAAACGGCGACTGTTTGATCTACAGGGCGTTCTACAAACAATGGAAGGATTTGTTTAACGATCCAATCACACGAGACCTGGGGTTAGAGGTCACCAACTGCCGGACTGCCATCGTTGTCATGACAACCATAGGTCTGCTCTTCATGGTGGTCAACAACTGTGGCGTCCTCTTCACCTTTTTTTACACAGAGCTGTCCGTCCAGGTATGTTGTCCCTGATTTCAACCAATGTTTCTTCCAGACTTTTTTCTCCGGGGGAGAGGGGGGGGGGGACACTTAATATTTTCGGGGAGGGGCAGTCAACATTTTCAGGGGGGACGACACACTGGTAAAAGTATACGTTTTCTATATGAATTCCATTTCGTTCGGGGGAAGGCAGTAGACTTTCTTCGGGAGGGGGGGGGGGGGCTCCGATGCCTTAAAGAAACTCTGATTTCAACCAAGCACATTACACGTCTATAATAACGCTTAACATGAGTAAAGACGGTTTATGTTTATGTGTGAATTAACATGTAATATGTTCACAACTAATGTCATATTTTTGTTACACTTCCACCAGCCAGTTCTGGAAAAACTGTTAACTGACCCACTTCCTGTGACCATCTGGAGCCAGCTGCTGGTAGTTTTGTTACACATCTTCAACTCGGGCTGCTGGTCTTTGACCACAACATTTGTTTTGTGTGCGGTCCATTTAATTGCCGCACATTTTAAAATTCTCACAAAAGTTCTACAAACTCACGTAAGTTGATGGTCCATTTAATTGCCGCACATTTTAAAATTCTCACAAAAGTTCTACAAACTCACGTAAGTTGATTTTCCATTTAATTGCCGCACATTTTAAAATTCTCACAAAAGTTCTACAAACTCACGTAAGTTGATGGTCCATTGAATTGCCGCACATTTTAAAATTCTCACAAAAGTTCTACAAACTCACGTAAGTTGATTTTCCATTTAATTGCCGCACATTTTAAAATACTCACAAAAGTTCTACAAACTCACGTAAGTTGATTTTCTATTTAATTGCCGCACATTTTAAAATTCTCACAAAAGTTCTACAAACTCACGTAAGTTGATGGTCCATTTAATTGCCGCACATTTTAAAATTCTCACAAAAGTTCTACAAACTCACGTAAGTTGATTTTCCATTTAATTGCCGCACATTTTAAAATACTCACAAAAGTTCTACAAACTCACGTAAGCTGGTTTTCCATTTAATTGCCGCACATGTTAAAATTCTCACAAAAGTTCTACAAACTCACGTTAGTTGATTTTCCATTTAATTGCCGCACATGTTAAAATTCTCACAAAAGTTCTACAAACTCACGTAAGTTGATGGTCCATTTAATTGCCGCACATTTTAAATACTCACAAAAGTTCTACAAACTCACGTAAGTTGATGGTCCATTTAATTGCCGCACATTTTAAAATACAAAAGTTCTTCAAACTCACGTACGTCGTTTTTCAATTAGCTATAAAAAAAAAATTCACATTTGTACGCTTTTATCACGACACAATATAAATGTGTAAATATATATATATATATATATATATATATATATATATATATATATATATATATATATATATATATATATATCTATATATATATATATATATATATATATTTGTAACTATGTATTTGAATACAGATAGAAAAGTCCGCCACAAGCATACCGCCACAGCTAAAAGAATTACGGACATGCCACTTAAGACTATGTCGTCTGCTAGAAACACTGAACGGATTCCTTAAATATTTTGTGACCATCACTTACCTGGCCACCATCATCGGCTGCTGCTTCCTCCTGTACATGCTGATCTACTCCAAGCTGGAGGTCTTGTTTATAGCCATGGTCGTCTTCTGGCTGACCTCGAATGTTCTCATAGCTCTGGCACTGTCTGTTGGTCTGTCGCAGGTTCACGAGGCTGTGAGTCGCTCTCTATTTTATACCGCAATATATTAAACATCATTAGTTACCATTTTCCTAACTTTTATGTTTACAGTTTATCATGTATCCTTCAATAAACCTACCAATCTTAAATCATTTATTTAATATTCCACGTTCTAATTCTTTCGTCCTTCGTCCTTCGATCATCATTCTTTATCATTTATATTTCATCTTCCGGCCTTCGCCCTTCTTAATCTTTCTTCATTCATTTTCCTGTGTTCTTTCTTTCATCCATCAACCTTCATCCTTCATCTGACTTCTTTCATCATGTTTGCTGCTTCTTCGATCTAAACATCATCATTCACTCTAAATCAATTCCTATTTTCTCCTTTATCCTAATACTATATATATATATTATAATGAAACCTTTATCCTTCATGCATCTTTTTTACTTTCTCGTATAGGGCCTATACGCAGTATAGAGAAAGTCTTGCAATCGTGCAAAAAAAAAAAAATCGAGATTTTTACAAATCTCGACGTTTTACATCTCACTGATACGGAAAAACATAATTTTTCAATCTTGTCCGTATGTCTGTGTGTCTGTCTGTGTGTCTGTCTGTCTGTCTGTGTGTGTGTGTGTAAACACGATAACTTGAGTACCGTTACAGCTAGGTTACTGAAATTTTATATATAAGTATTTAATCAAAATCGTAGATCCGTATCAACTTTTGAGCTATTTCCGATAACCGGAAGTGGTACTTTTCCTACTTTGATATTTTCAAAAGCCTATAACTTGAGTACTATTTCAGATAGATAAACGAAATTTCACATGAAATTAAAAGATCTAATTCTCTACCATCTGTTAAATTTTGCGTCATTTCCGTTGACCGGAAGTAGTAATTTACGCTACTTCCGATTTCTCAAAAAACTAATGTAAATTTTTAAAGTACTAATAATATTGCACACTATTATGCACTTTTTTATTTAGCGTTCACTTGGTGTGCAATTCTTTTGTCTACGAGCTTTTATTCTATTTTTAAAACTTTAAGTATTTAAAATGGATTAAAAATCATGTCTATAGCCCGAGTTCCCATCCCCTGTTATTTTATATAAAAATATTCGAGAAAGTTTAGGGGAGATCACTCCCGGTTTATTTTAAGTAAAAAAGATACAGGAGAGTTAACCAATACATGTATTTACTGTTACTTTGCTAGAGTAGCGTCCCATGTTGTGATGTCAAAAAGGACGTTGATTGTTACAACCACGACTGTTTTTGTTTTCAACATTCTTCTGTTATTCAGCTTCTACTATTTATTATCTAAAATCTAAAACAACTCGATGAACGCTACACTTGTCGTTGTAACTTTCAACACGATGATGTGTATAATAATTACAGTCTATAATTAATTTTAACCTGATTTGTTTTATACATCCTGTAATTACACTGTGAAATTAGTTTTAAGTTGATGTGTTTTATATATTATCCTGTTGTCAAGGCCCACGAACCATTGGAGGAACTATTTAACATACAAGCGGCTGATGAAGCTGATACTACACAGGCCATACAGGTAGGTCTATAGCTACAGCCATACAGGTAGGTTTATAGCTACAGCCACAGCCATACAGGTAGGTCTATAGCTACAGATATACAGGTAGATCTATAGCTACAGCCATACAGGTAGGTCTATAGCTAAAGTCACAGCTATACAGGTAGGTCTATAGCTACAGTTACAGACATACAGGTAGGTCTGTAGCTACAGCTACAGACATACAGGTAGGTCTATAGATGCAGCCATACAGGTAGGTCTGTAGCTGCAGCCACAGCCATACTGGTAGGTCTATAGCTACAGCCGCTCAGGTAGGTCTATAGTTACAGCAATACAGGTAGGTCAATAGTTACAGCAATACAGGTAGGTCAATAGTTGCAGCAATACAGGTAGGTCTAGAGCTGCAGCCATACAAGTAGGTCTCTAGCTACAGCCACAGCCATACAGCTAGGTCTATAGGTGCAGCCACCGCCATAATTATAAGTCTATAGCTACAGCCATTCAGGTAGGTATAGTTACAGCAATACAGGTAGGTATAGTTACAGCAATACAGGTAGGTCAATAGTTACAGAAATACAGGTAGGTCAATAGTTACAGAAATACAGGTAGGTCAATAGTTGCAGCCATATAAGTAGTTCTATATCTACAGCCACAGCTATACAGGTAGGTCGATATCTACAGCCATACAAGTAGGGCTATAGCTACAGCCACACGTTATATATGTAGGTCTATAACTACAGCCATACAGGTAGTTATATAGCTACAAAAATGTTTAAAGTTAGGTAAAACACAATTATCTTTTACTAAACTATACGAATTTTTAAAAATTGGATTAAATTAGGACTTTATTGTTAAGTTAATTTATGGTTATTGTTATATTGCTCTCATCCGTTAATTCATCACAGCCTATAATAAATTTCATCCATTTTCGTTTGATTTCCTGTAACTAAACAAAAACATTACAATTAATCAAGTCTAATCAGTTGTTACGGAAATTAAAGGTGGCTGGGTATAGTACTAATCACATCTTCCCTTCATAGCAAGTCGAGGTTAAGATACATATGAGCGCTACTATCTGTCAAATAGATCGCTAGGTCTAAAGTGGAATCTTCAACTTTTTACTTTCTCGTATATACGAAGTATAGAGAAAGTCTTGTAATCGAGCAAAAAAAATCGATTCTTTTACAAATCTCGACGTATTACACCTCAGTTATACGGAAAAACATAATTTTGCAATCTTATCCGTATGTCTGTCTGTGTGTCTGTATGTGTGTAAACAAGATAACTTGAGTACCGTTACAGCTAGGTTGATGTAATTTCATATATAAGTATTTTATCAAAATCGTAGATACGTTTCAACTTTTGAGCGATTTCTGATAACCGGAAGTGGTACTTTGTTCACTTTGAATTAGTCAAAAGCCTATAACTTGAGTACTATTTCAGATAGATAAATGAAATTTCACAAGTAAGTAAAAGATCTAATCCTCTACCTTCTATCAAATTTTGAGTAATTTCCATTGACCGAAAATAGTAATTTACGCTATTTCCGATTTCTCAAAAAACGCTTGTAAATTTATAAAGTACTAATAATATTCCGCACTATTATGAACACTTTGTTTTGGCGTTCGCTTGGTGCGCAATTCTTTTGTCTATGATATTCTATTCTATTTTTTAAAGTTTAAGTATTTAAAATGGATTAAAAATCATAACTATATCCCGAGTTCCCATCCCCTGTTGTTTTATATAAGAATATTCGAGAAAGTTTAGGGGAGATCACTCCCGGTTTATTTAAAATTCACTATGTGTGATAAGTACTTGCATTTGTTAAACTTTTTAGAGATAACTAATAATGTTTTCTATAAACGTATTATTTTAAGCCCTAAAAACAATTTACTTCTATACTCTAGTTGCAGCTGTTTCTATCTAAGTTGACTGGCACGTCTATAGGGGCTACAGTTCTTGATTTGTTTACAATCACCAAGGAGGCGCTGCTTACAGTAAGTAATGTGTGTATGTCATTAACACAACAGTGTTCAAACAATTTTTATAATTCGTGTTTCTTCATCAATTATTATTTGAAAGTAGCTCATCCTTTCCTCCTTTTTCAAGCACTGTCTAAAACTTCTATCAGCGTGTTTATTTAATCTTACTGGTAGTGATTTAAATTTTCTTAAACCTGATAAAGTATCTTAATTTTCTTTTCAAATCATAATCCGTACATATATTAAACTATATAATATAAATGACACGATTGTTTTTTTTTATTATAAATATGTTTGTTTTCAGATCGCAGGGGCTTACTTGACGTATTTCCTTCTATTGATACAGTTCAATCCATGATGTTATAGTTCAACCCATGAGGATACCGAGCTACATTTTCTGGAATAACTAACCCTTAATTTGCATACTTTATCCAATGTGTCACAGTTTATTTCGCATCTACACTGCGATAATGAAATATTAAAATGTTACAATTCTTTACAATAAATGTTCATTTACCTTTTTTCTTAACGTATTATTTATCATATAACTACACAACACTATCATCAATACCAAACATCCCATTTAAACGGATCAGCCGTTTCAAAAGCAAATAATATCGTCATTATCCTTTATCTTACATGAAATTGACTCAAGGGTTCATATGTTTTCATGACCTCGGCATACAAAGGGGATAATGTTCTTCCCTAACGAAGGTCAGGTACCCTATAGAGCTGAGTGCAGTTGAGAACATCCTACAGTCACAAGCTTGGAACGAGATCTGGACTCATATTATCGATCTCAAAATGGATCAAAATTAGTTGCCTATGACACCACCATTCAAGTGTAAATATTTTTTTGTTAAAATCAAATATACTAATAATATTCTAACACAAATTTCTCGAGATCTTAGAACGGTTGGACATTGTTTGATTATTTTGTCTTAGTTGAAATTTAAAAAAAAACAGCTATAATAAAATTTTCCAACTGTTTTTTTTAGGTTGGCTTTAAATTTAGTTAAAAACTCTCAAACGAAAATTATACAAAGTCTAGACAAAATCTAAAATTCTTTGGTATAAAAAAATAGTCTTCTTCTTCTTCGTTCTTAATATTAGTGTTGGAAGGGATCGAGCCTTATCTGCCAGAGGGTTTGAACTCGAGACTTTTTTTTCGAATTTATCAACCATGAGCTTTTGCAGACTCGCCCACGCCTCCATCACACTCAAGGATTACGTGTCAACTGGTTATGTGCCATTGAGGCCATTGACTCCGATTTCAGCCTGCTTTTGTTTTTGGATTTGCTTCCAACCAAGAACAAACTACAGGGCAGCTGTTGCTTGATTTTGGAGTTGTCTCTCCTAGAAGAGTGGCTGTCCTCAGCTAACGAGCCTTATCTTCCCAAGAAAAAAAAAAGTCAACATGCAATTAAAATTACAACTAGAAACGTTCACAAAAATGATTTCGTGAATAGTCGCATCAATGGTCATTTTTATGTCCACATTTAATGAACTGAACGACGCTAAGCTCTTATTATCTGTTATTTCCTCATCGTCTTGCCCAGCCCTACTCGTACACCTGACTATGTGACGCTAAACTGTAAAAGTAAAGTTTAACATTCAAACCTGACGGTCTATGGGGCAAGTGAAGTAGAGTTCACTTGTTTCTGTGACCTCGGCATATGAAGAGATAGTGTGGTCGTACTATGCCCAGCCGCCTTTACTTTCCCTAACGTGAGTTAGGTACCCATCAGAGTTGGGTGGACTCAGGGACGGTCTACTGACTTGAACCCGGATTCGAACTCGAGACTGACGGGTAAGCAGTCCAGCTCTCTACCGCTAGACCACTAAACTTGTTATAACACAATTTATCATGACTGGATAAAACCAGAGGTCAAGTTGGGGGTGGGTGTGAGTGGAAGGAATATCTATTTCCCATTCAATCATTTAAAGATTATCCAGTCTTCTTCCTAGGTTAGTTAAATTAAAACTGCAAACAATTTCGACTGCACACAAAAAAACTCACTTTAAGGTAACTGCGAATTTGAAACAATTAACCGATCGATTCTCATCAGGGCCGAAGACTTAATGAATACTCGTATTTTTAACCTCTCGATTAATTAAAGTTAAATGTGTATTTTAAAAAAAAAATAAGGATTTAGTGTAATTTAAAAACTGTCTAACTTTTTCCGAGACAATAAAGGAAACAGGTTGAGAGAGACCGCTTTGCGTTGTTGAATATGTTTCAAAGGTGTGTGACGGCGGTTGTCAATAATTTTATTGAAAGTGGTTTTACACTACCGTGTCAAACTCAGCATTGATTTTACTAATGTTACCTGAACCCTATCAGTTGAATGTCAACATGACGAAGCAGAAATGATAACGTTACGTTCACTAAACACATTAGTATTGAGCTGCTTGGACTGAGTTCTGTGACAGAGATTTGATTTGGTGATTTTGTGAGTTAGACCGATTATATGTAAATTGTAATACATTTCAAAACGGCTATAAAAAGGAGCAGGAATAATTATTAGTTTAATTTAGATTATTTAATTATTTAATTAGAAACGTGATTACCACACTATTTGAGTCTCTCAAATGTACCGACTTATAATGATGTATGTCTGTCTAATTTCTTACAGTCCAGCCTTGCGGCCTTTTAGTTTAACTTGAAAACAAAACGCTGAAAAAACATGAAAAGGTCACAGTTGACATTATTTCACAAGAAACCAACAATGGCCATCCCAAACGACTACAGTGTGACGCAACTTCCGGTGTGCTGTAACGTCAGGAAGTCTCTGGCACCGGTGATATTCTTCATGAAACTGCTGGGCCTGTACCACGACTGGGAGGGCTACTTCCCAAACAACGTGGTGCCTCAGTCTGACGAGGAAAATGTTCAAACCCCATACGACAACACAAACATTGATCCACTCAACCATACAGCCTCCAAGTTTTCACCATCATCAAAACGGGATGTACAAATACGGTGTACGCGACTAATGTCCAAATGTTATTGTATTTTTGTCATTATCTTACTAGCTTTAAATGCTGGAAGATTTTTGTATTTTTTCATAAAATCTAAGACAGAAGGTCTAATCTTCAATGTGGTAATCATGAACTGGTACATCCAAAACTTCGCCTGTGCTTTCTGCCTTCTGGTGGCTTGTTGGAAGAAAAGTTTTCTCAGGTTAGTGAAAAGTATTAACACAACCTAAGTTATTGGCAAATCATTACTGTATCATACTGTAAATAAGACTTGCTTGTGGCAAAATTAATTAAAAAAATATATGTACACCTTAAAAATATGTAGGATGTGATTCTGTGAGTCTGCTAGTGAAAGTGTGCTTTTAGAGGTAACACGCTGTAGATTAGTTATGTTGAGGACGGCGTGGTCTAGTGGTAGATCATAAGCTTGCTACACAAACGTTATACCGAGACCGTAGGTCGTCTTACGACCGTATGCTCTTTACCTTCAATAACAAGTGCTGCAATGCATTGTGGTCAGGAAATAAAAAAACCTTCTGACAAACCACAAGGTTACTGGATGGGGGCTTAGGTGGGAGGAATGTATGATTTGTATCTGTTCAGGTAAATGGCTGATGACGAAGGTGGGAGGAATGTATGATTTGTATTTGTTCAAACTCTGTCTGGATAATCAGCACAGCTTGCTTGTAAATAAACGTTAATGAGAGAGTTGACAACGTTATGGTCGATGGACGGTTGTATATGAGTACAGTAAGACTATCAAACTTGCAGCATACAGTACACACATGTCTACAATTTATATAAGCTATACAAATATTGTTTTGAAAAAAAAAACTTGTTTATCTTTTATGATTTTTTTACTAACGCTACCGTATGATAGGAAACGTTCTAACAAATTATTTTTTAAAGTCGTGCTTACACATTGCAATTAATCACGTATTGTTGGTTTACATTATTTTAATTACTTCTTATATAGGCGTTTTTGTTTATGTTAAAGTTGAATAAGCATAATATTTTTATCTCTGTCAACAACCGAAAGCTGTTTGATCTAACAGGGCGTTCTACAAACAATGGAAGGATTTGTTTAACGACCCAATCACACGAGACCTGGGGTTAGAGGTCACCAACTGCCGGACTGCCGTCGTTGTCATGACAACTATAGGTCTTCTCTTCATGATGTTCAACAGTTGTGGCGTCTTCATCACTTTTTTCGACACAGACATGTCCATTCAGGTAGATAGGCCTATATAGTAAACATTTACTAATGAAAAACAAGAAAACAATTTTGGTAAATTTTAAACATGTTTTACGTCCTGCAAAAATAACCTATACTACATTATGCGTTAAGTTAACATTAATAGTATTAAGATTATAAATATATAAATAACTGAGAGTATATATATATATATATATATATATATATATATATATATATATATATATATATATATATATATATATATATACATATATATATATATTATGCATATATATATATATATATATATATATATATATATATATATATATATATATATATATATATATATATATATATATATATATATATATATATATATATATATATATATATATATATCAGAGAAACAGTAAGGGGAGGGAGTGTGTGGCGGCTGCCCTTGGAGCTGACCGTAGAGATGCGACAATCGGGCTGCATAAAGTTTATACTCATCTGCCTTACGGAAATACAAACGGTCAAATTTTAGAAGAAAAAAAGAAACATATGTGTCTTTAAATACATATGTGTTTTCAACATCACTTATGTGACACTAAAATAAAAATAAAAAATAAACCGGGAGTGGTCTCCCCTAAACTTTCTCGAATATTCTTTTATGAAACAACAGGGGATGGCAACTCGGGATATAGACATGATTTTTAATCCTTTTTAAATACTTAAACTTTTTAAAATAGAATAAAATCTCGTAGAAAAAAATTGCACACCAAGTGAACGCCAAATAAAATGTGCATGAATGTGCGGAATATTATTAGTACTTTATAGATTCACATGCGTTTTTTGAGAAATCGGAAATAGCGTAAATTACTACTTCCGGTCAACGAAAATTACTCAAAATTTGACAGAAGGCAGAAAATAAGATCTTTTACTTACATGTGATATTTCATTTTTCTATCTCAAATAGTTCTCAAGTTATAGGCTTTTGAAAATTTCAAAGTAGAAAATGTTCCTATTCCGGTAATTAGAATTTGCTCAAAAGTTGATACGGATCTAAAATTTTGATAAAATACTTATATATGAAAATTCATCAACCTAGCTGTAACGGTACTCAAGTTATCGTGCTTACAGACACACACACACACACAAACACACACACACACACACAGACACATATAAACACACACAGACATACGGACAAGATTGCAAAACTATGTTTTTCCGACTCAGAGAGCAGCTGTAAAACGCCGAGATTTGTAAAAA